AGCCAAAACGAAGTACGTGCTGGCCCATCAGTCGGTCCCGGACAGGGAGGAAGGTAACGGGCCCTTCCCGGGGTGGGAGATGGGGTCGGTTTCCCCGCAGGAGATGGGGACCCTGTGGGGAGCCGCAGGCCGGGGGTCCCGGTGGGGCAGCCACGCCTGGCGCTGTGGCCCCTGCATGGGATCGCTGGGAGCTTTGCCCGTGATTTGGGGGAAAAGTGAGAAATGCTCCCTGAGAGGAGGGCTGGGGTGATGCTCAGCCCTGGGGAGGGCTAGGGGGGGAAGCCCGGGGCTTCCCGCTCCCTCTGCTCCCACCGTCCTCCCCCTGTGGCCTCCAGACTGCTACAGCGAGACAGAAGCCGAGGACCCCGATGACGAGTCCCCCAGGCACAGATGCGACTCGGTGAGTGGCCCTAGGGGACATCCTGGGGAGGGGACGGAGGATCCTTGTCTCACCTCCCGCCCCGTCTCTCCCCCAGCCAAAGAAGAGGCTGCAAAATGCTCCGGAGAAAGTCCAGCTCTTCCCGGCCGGCGGTGAGCCCAGCAGTGCAGCCAGCAGCCCCCAGGGCAGCCCCCGGCCCTGCTCGCCCATGGGTAGGTGCTGGGGGGTGGCATCTGTCACCCTGTCACCTCCTGTGCACCCTTTAATCGAAGTTAGGGCCACCCTTTTGTGCGTCTGTGTGTGTGCAGGGGGGATAACTCGAGTTGGGATGTATTTGAGCGTCAGCCACGTAGTGTCTCGGGATACTCTCAGGGCAGGGTCGCGTGCAGGTGCAGCCCCGCCAGGATTTGGGGCTGCCCCCATCCTACGGTGCCCCCTCTCCTCGCCCAGACCCCGCCGGGGAGGATCTCGAGTGCCTGATGCGGTGCCTGAAGCAGGGGGGGGTGTCCCTCATCGGGCAGCAGCGGTTCCTGACGCAGGAGCAGTGCCGCAAGTCCTTCATCCGGCGCAACAAGAACCCCCACATCAACGAGAAGGTGCACGCGGTGCGGGCCCTGCAGAGCACGCCCAAGGGGGGAGCCCGCGGCCCCCCGACCCCCCCAAAGCCCCCTGCCCATGGGTGGCCGCCCCCAAAACGTGCCCCTCTTCTCGGCA